ATTAATTTTTGCTTTTTTGATTTTATAAAATGTAATTAATTTTAGTAAATTTCATTCTCATTTTATAAGAAATTATGAGAATGCATTAATAAATCTGTAGTCTTAGATCTAGTTATTAACTGAATTTTTGTCTGAATTTGTCACTATAATTAATGCAATTACATTAAATGCACTGACAAGGAAAGAGATTATGCTGAAAAATATTTGCTGCTTTTTTCATCATTGTTAGTTATCTGCATAAATAAGTCACAGAATGTATAGTCATAAGAAAAAAAAATAGGATTTCAGTATTCAAAACAATTACAAACTGTATCATTTTAAGAAAACATATCAAATTCAAGTTTCTTTATAGTAAGTGTCTTAAGTTTTTATGCCTTAACTGAAAAAAGAAAAATGATATTTTCCCTATAATAATCGAATGCTTACATTAGTATAAATTAAATGATTAATGAGAGGGAAATATTTGTTTTAGTAATGTACTAGTTGACATTTCTGTAAAAAACCCAAAATCTAATGTTACTAGTAGGATCCATAGAAATTTTGTTGCACATTTTGTAATTGAGGATTCAAACTATACATATATATATATATATATATATACTATATATATATATATATATATATATATATATATATATATATATATATATATACCAAATCCACAAGTGGTAGAAATCATCCAAAAAGAGGCCTTTTTAATATAGAAATATTAAAAAGTCAGATCCAAGAAAAGAGTTCAATGTATAAAGTATACAGAGCAATAAAATTTGTAGTAAAAAAAGGCACTTAAAATCACATTAAATATGGTAATGACTTTATTTCAACAGATAATTTTTACCTGCCTCATCAGACTAAAGATTTTGATAAATAAATTCAGGCAGACAATTCAAAAATAATACATTAAAACAAAAAAAACTGACAAAAGAAGCAGAATTAACCTGACCTAAAAAAATTATTTCTGTGGGTTTACATAATTTAAGAGGGTGAAGAGAAAATAAGAAAAGCAAAATCCATTTGTTTTCATGTTCCTCTTGTATTTTTCTAAGGTTATCTTTTTCTGTCTAATTCTATTTTTTTCAATTATAGTAAAATTTTACATGGCTTTTAAAATGTTTTTGTAGGTGGAAATGTTCTACAGGTAATAATCTTTTGTGGAGAGCCAACATGATCCGATAATTATTAATTCTGTAGTGAAAGGGCCATTCAGATTTTCCCACATATTGTTTTTGCATAGTGTGCATTCTAATAAGTAAATTACATTATGACTTTTAGAGTTGTGGTAGATTTTGAAGTAGATTTAGTGACTGAACTAGTGAACAAATTGGTATGTCTAATGTGGTTACAACATAGGCTCCTTTTGTTGTTATATAGTTGGGAAAATCTATTTATTCTTGGTCTATTATGGGTTACCTTATCTGAAATTTGGTTACTACCTATAATTTCCTTAAGGTTCTTAGGTCTATGATATGTTAGAAGGTTGGGTTTCTCAAAGTTTTTAGGTCTGGTTTGAGATGTAGTATTTCCAGTGACTTTTGATTATCTGTGATAGTGGAGGAAGTGTGGTGTTGAAAGTGGTTACTAGAAGGATGCATCGGGATTTATTTTTAATTTTATACATTAGGGTGTCTTCTCTAGGTGTGGAAATTGCTTTATATATTTGTTCTGTGATTAGGTGTTGTTTATAGCCATGTGTTGTGAATTGATGCTTGAGATTTTTAGTGTTTACTTTTTAGAAAATATCCTTCTGAGTCTAAGTGCTTGTGAATATGGAAGGTTCTCATCAGGTGGGAAGACTTAAAGTGTAGATAGTTGTGAATGTCGGTGATTTTAGTGTGTAGTGTCGTTTGTAGTTTTCAGTTTATATCGATGTAGATATCTAAAAATGTTACTGATCATACTGATTTTTTTGTGATCCAACTTAATGGAGTTGTATACTGTGTTTAGGTCATAGGGAATTCAGAGTGAAGAAGATATCGATATATCTTGCATAGAATATATATATATATATATATATATATATATGATTCAATTAAATTTTCAAATATATTTTAATTTAGGTTCATTTACTTTTTCATTAATAATAATTTGAAAAAAAAGGTTAATGAATTTGTTTGTTTGTTAATGTTGCTTTCAAACAAATCAGAGTATTTGTTAGACTTTTTACTTTTCAATTTAAATACTTTTTGAATAAAAATATGGGGATGCTCAGCCCCCTAAGCCCTGCCCACCAGCGTGATATTGTTAGTGTGGCAGTTTCTTAAACTTAGTTAATTTGTAACAACCCCTCCCCCAAAAAATAATGAAGTTTATTTTTTAAAGATTGAATTAAAAATTATTTGCCATAAGATGGCTGTAAAATATCAATAAATTGTCAATAATAAACTAATATTCAGAGATCTTCTGAGCAACGCTGTGTATCCCCTCTAGTTATTAATAAAAAAATAAATAAACTTAAATTAAGATATATTTTAAACAGATTTAATTTAATTGATTCATATTTTTTTTTTTTTAAGCAAAAACTATAGCGAGCTTTACTTCTTCAAAAAATAATTATTTACTATTTATTTTGGAGGGAATTTATTTTATAAAAATCTAAAGTTTATAAAGTTTTACTTTGAAAATAGTAATTAATGTTTTAAAGAGAGTAGAAGCAAGATACATTGAGAATTTAGTTTTGAAAAGCGATTGTTTAAATTTCAAGTTATATTAGTATTTGAAAAGGAAAAAAAAAACTTAAATAAAATTAGGAGAGAGAGATGAGTTTTGGGCAACATTAGTTGTGTTGAATATTTGTTTTACAAATTTAAGTATATTTAAATTAAATTTAAAAAAAAAAAAATAAGACTCACTATAGTTTTTTGTTTAATAAAACTTCATTTAAAATTATTTACTTTTTTATGTTAGCTACAAACCCAAAAAACAATGAAGATTTTTTTTTTTATCCAATCTTTAAAAAATATTTTCCATAAGATAGCCGAAAACTGTTAATAATACACACAGACACGTTAATTACTTTTTAAGTTTTAGCTGGACACATACACACACTCAAATATTTAAATAAGTATTAAACTTTTTGTCAAATAATTGTATTTAACATTTTTAAAAATTTATTTTGTTGTTTTAATATTCATTTTTTTAAAGTTATGCTTTTATTTACTGTAGATGTGAAAATAAAGAGAATAGAAATTTAAAATATATATATATCAGTTATGTGTGTGTGTGTGTGTGTGTATATATATATATATATATATATATATAAGTTATGTGGTATATTGAATGCTGATATATATATCAGCAGTCAATATACCACATAACACCCTTGAGTAGCGGGTAGAATGGAGATCAACATGTTTTACTGGACTCAGCAATTTTCAATCTGCTTGTCTGAATCCTTTCTTCAAGAAATCGAGTGCAAGATCTAAAAGGTCAGCCAAACTAACAGTGATCTCCTCCACACTAGCTCCATATGTGGCCTCCTTTGTAAATCACTAGCAGGTCAACAAAATGCCACTTAAGATTATCACACAAACTTTCATAACTGAATCAATAAGCTGTCAGATCCTCATTTAAAACTGTAATGGAGAGTCCATTATATATATATATATATATATATATATATATATATATATATATATATACACATATTTGTATTTCATTTAGCAGAATAAAAAGTAAAAACGAATGGTAATCCAATTTAAGAATAAGAATTATTATCTGTTTTTTACTTTTTTTTTTTTTAATTTCAAATGCATTCTATTTTAAAATATCTTCATAAATATAAATCATACAATAATTTATTTTTTTTTTTTTTACAAAAAGCTGGCTAGGGTGATAATGGGTCTGTATATGAATTTATTTTGTCACAAATTACTGTAGTTTTTTAGTTTTTGCTAGACACACATACAGACAACTGCTCTTTATATATGTATAGATGTAGATATATTGGTTTTTCCTTAATATTTTGTGTGTCTGTATATATAAAAATGTAAGTATGCATTATTCTTTCATAAAAAAATTTTATGTAGTTGTATGTGTATATATGTATTGTATATATAAATTATTTATTATTAATTTTTCTATTTGACTATTAAGATTATGATATCTAAATGTATAACAACTTGGATTCATTTAATGTGGAATCTGACTGCCTTTACTTACTCTTTCCTTATTTTTCTCTCCCCTGCTCTTAAATTACGTAAACCCACCAGAAATAATTCTTTTTAGGTCGGGATTTCTAACTTACGCCCTTGGATTTTTCTTTTTTTTTTTGAATTGAGGACATTGAATACTGGTTGCCACTATACAAGAGCTGTCTTGAAATTAAACCAGCTATTTAATATTAATGAAAAATGAACTCTCTAGAGCAATGACACCATAGTTGTCCTCAAAGCATCCCACATGAAGCCTTATTCCAGTATCTCTTCTGCTGTTCAAAATGGCCTGCAAAGACCTCTTTCAAGATCAACATCAGCTGTTTCATTGCATTTCTCTTAATCTCATTAATGCATTCCCCACCGCCCCTTTCAACAGCAATAGCCAGAAGTTGTCCAAATCCAGAGTACCAATTGACATAGCTGTGTGATGCAAAGTTTTGCCAAAAAACACACAGTACAAAAGTACTCAATAGTGTCTCACTACCAACTGAGTAACTCCACAGGAGAGTTTATGCACAGTATGGCCTCTTCTGATAACTTATTTAAAAAAAGCCATGCAACCAGTTCCCAAAACATTTAAAATTGTTAGATACTTTTCAGACAGAACTTGTATTCCAACTTTACCAAAAAGTTGTCTTATCAATGAAGGGCATACATTTTCCACACAATTAACACCCAAGTGATGCAATATAACTTGTAACAATGGAATATTTTTTTATATCATAGATGTAAAAAGCATAATATACACACTGTATGTAGATACAACAAAAATGTATTAAGAGATAAATTCTTACAGCTTACCTTTAAAAGCAGCTTTTCCTCCTGCCTTAAGTGCACTCTTCTGTTTTTCTATCTTTTCTTGCAGCAATTTACTTTTATGTGAAAGTGTTTCCAATTGGGAAGATGTCAGGCTGTCTTTCAGGTGGCAAATCTGTAAAAAATGTAAAAAGAGACTAACAAGTGAAACATAGCAGCCAAACAAATCCAGACTGTAAACTCTAAAGCTCTTCAACACGCATCTCTTAACCTGAATGGACTGTGCAAAAGTTCCCAAAACTGTCTTCTAAGTTTTCACTAGTATTTTGCAGAAGTGTTTGTTGAAATTTACTCGACACTTTATTACTTGTATAATCAGTCAACTGTAATATGTTGTTATTTACATTTGAACTATTGTCCTCATTTTTGTTATGTTTCAGCAATTGTGCTTTCCAGCCTTCCTTCAGGGAATTTCAAATTGAACACATTATTTAATCTACAAGGATAGATTATCTTGTTTCATACTGCTCAGATATTGCTTGCCCCATTTCCACTGAATTTAAGTCTGCACTTCCTGAACCAGAGAATGAACTCACAATGAACTCAATACTTTAATCCACCAGGCTACTGTCCTGTGGGACAATCCTGAGCCTAGAACTTGGAGCTTTATACCTAATATTCTATTGTTGAGAAGCCGCAGTGAATTCAGTCAAACATGACATCAGAATCATGCAGGATAGAAGAATGTTAGGTTTAAGGCTCAAAGTTCTAGGTTCAGAAATGTTCCACTGGATAATAATGGATTAAAGCATTGGATTGTGAATTTGGCAACATCGTAATTGAGTGCAATCTCTGGTCCGGGTACTACAGAATTTGATTCAGTGGAAACCATCTGAGCTATAAGTGAGCAGTATTAAATAAGAACAACATGAAATATATCCCTAGAGAGCAAAACAAGAAAAAATTACTGTTGTAGATTAAATAAAGGGTTCAGTTAGAAATTTTAAGGGGAAATAACCTTATATAAATATATAAGATTTCAAAATACGAGACCAACTGGAGTCAATAGTTAACCAACATCTTCAGATTCTCATAAAAAATATTTCAATTTCCTGGAAAGCTGAATAAACATACCTGAATTTTTTTTTTCTTCCTCCAAAAAAGATAAAATGTTTCAGGAGGATTGAATTATGAGGTTGTTTGAAAAATGAGAGAAAATTATTGAACAAGTTTGTTTTGTTCCATTAAGTTTCCACTTTCTATTTAGGACTAATTTGAAGGTGACAATGTGTAAGTATTTTTTTTTTTTCACGGTAAAAATTCCATAAACTTTTGAGTAGTAACTTAGAGATATTCTAGACGGTTATGAATTTTATATCATGATTATAAATTTTAGAAGCAGTAAACAGTATATCTGGGTGCACATTAGTTCACCCAAGACTAATAACTGTAGATATCATGATATATCATATCCTATGATCTACCTCCTATTCTAAAAGTTCCCTGTAAAGGAAGAAATCAAAGTAAATTATTAAGTTAGAGTGAAAGCCAACATCTGGCAGAGCTTTGATAAAATGGAGATAGGAAGTAAAAAATTTATTTCATAAAACCTATTTTATAATTTAAATAATGCCACAAGTGAGTTTTGTCAAGGAAAATTTTGCAAACTTGTGTTGTTTTCACACACATTATGTATAAATTTTAAATTGATAAATTTCAAAGAGAAATAAAAAAAAAAATCACCTGTTTATCAAGTTGCTGTTTCTCATATTTGAGGACCTCCATTGATGTACTCCCAGAAGTGGCTCTGAAATATAGAAGTATGAAAACACAGAATGACATATTTTCTAATAACAATAAGAATTTCTAGTTCTCTGATGCTTAAGTGGGTGATATATATATATATATATATATATATATATATAGAGAGAGAGAGAGAGAGAGAACTGAGATATGTTGAAATTACTAATAAATTTTTTATGAACAAGGTTGTATTTTTTTTTTTTTTTTTTTATAAACTCATGATTCTGATCTCTATCCCTTTATATTACAGAATGAGTCAAAAATAGTGTCCCCCCCTTTCGTTTTTTTTTTATGGCTGTCAGTTGATTGCAATGCAAACAGTTTTCAGGAAGGTACAAATCAATGAAAGACATGTTTATCTAAACATTTATTCATGGAAAAATTATTAAAGAAAATAATACTCTGCAAGGTAAATATGAACATGACTTTCCAGAATCTTTGACTCACCCTGTATATATGTACTTACCATGCCTTTAAAAAAAAACAGCCAATATTTAAGCTTTTTGATATTTTGTAATTTCAATTTTAAAAATTACTATCCATTTATCCATGAGCTAAAACTAATCTAAGACATTAATAAATTATGGCATTTTATTTGTCAAATTTAAAACAGAAAATTCTGTATTTATTGTGTTACCAGAAAAGATCACTATATAAAGATGGGCAAGTTGCTCATCTTCATGCTATGGACTCTTATTAACATAGAAAGTGTTACACACACACACACGTGTATGCATGTCATCCACAGACATACTTCACTGTCACAGCTCCTCAGTTTGTTTAGATGTCTGATTGCTTCAAGCCGGGATCAAAATCTGACTGATCAGTCAGATATTTTACCTCTAGGCCATTGTCACACAGGAGAAAGGAAGGCAGGAAGGTATATATATGCGCACACACACACTGAATTTTATACATGAAGATATGAGGCCAAATAAATAAAAACAAAGTCTTATACAGTTATTGGTTGAATTTTGATTTGAAATTTTCACTGTATAATATTCAAGCTATGTGATTAATATAGATCACTTTATTAAATGCATTGACAAGGAAGGGGATTATGTTAAAAACATTTCTCGTGTAAAATAATTTTTTCATCAGGAGGCCATTGTCAATTTTTGAGCGTGTATTGTTTAAAATTTGCTATATATTAATGGTGAAAAGTGATCAATATCAGAAATAGATTATTTGTAGATGGTATGGACAAGCAATCATCAGATTGTATATTGTTACTCCTTGTGCGGGATTGAGATATATATGTGTGTGTGTATAGCTGGCCACTCGTATTTGAAGATACCCATCTACAAGGTCAGCTAGCCAATCCCCATTGCAAATGCCTGCTCAGGCACAATTGTGTTTGTTCAACATCTACAGAATTCACCTGTGCTTTATACTGCAACTATGCTGAGCAAACTTTAGTTATAGTTTTTGGGAGAGAGTGTGTTATCTAGCGTGATCAACAATTTGCACAAGGCTAGCATACTCAAACCCTCAGTCACGATGACTTATGACTTTGTGATAGCACAGCCATTGATAGCCCCCTATGGGTTTCATCTTCATCATCCAATTTTACTCGCAAGCCTTGGATCAACCTGTAATATTGTTTTCAGGCACTTTCCAAAGGTGCGACATGTTGAGACTGCCCCTTCCAGACTGATAACATCAGGAAGTCTCCCCGCTGACAAATTGATTATGGTGAGATTTAGGAACACGAGTCTATGGCCAGAAAGCAAATGTTTTAGCCATCTGGTCATATATATATATATATATATATATGCCCTCAGTGGCCTATAGGAAGTTGGAGAAATTGACCCTTTTCATTTCTTTTGTTTAGAGCTAATATTATAGTCCTGATCTTGAGTCAGTATATTTTAATTATTTATTATTTTTGTTTTATTTTTTCCTGTATGGCTTCCTTCTGTCCAGAGTTTTCATATTAAAATTAAAGTTTATTAGGCTAGGTTATGAGTTAGTTTTTTGAGTAATGATGTGGTAGTAGGTAGAGAAATTTGTTTCTGTATCTTCATTTGAAAGTGGCTTTCATCATTTGTTTAGAAATATGTATGTATATATAAACAGGGCAGTGTTGATTTCTATATACATTTGATCTATCACTGATAATGAGTACTTTTCTCATATAGTAAATTTTATATATATATACTCACACAAATACACACACAATGGGGTGTTGAAAATTCTCAGCCAAACATTCTTCAAAATCAATATTTCAATGACCAATTATATGAATATTGATTTTAGGAAGTGGATCATGCCAAAAACTTTCCTGAACCTATGTTGTGTGCATTTGGGTCCTAAGGAATGATGAAATTCAGTTGATCTCTGATAAGTATTGTGAACTTTAATTATTTCTGATATAATATATACAAAATTGTGTTGTGCATGAAAAACTTAAATGTTCAAAAGGGTTTTGATATTCTCCTTGAGTATGTTGGAGTTTGATCTAACATGTAATAAATGTGCTCCCATCTGTTTAAGTAGGGCATGCTTGAAAAAAAATTATCAAAGATATCACAAACATAGAAAAGTCATTCACTAGATGTTATACAGCAGTTTTACTTGCAGTAAGTGTGAAAAGGAATGTGCTTCAGTTGGTGAATTTATTTCTATTAAGAGAAAAAGAAATAAATCTTAAAGATCATTTAAAAAAGGCTTGTTGGAAATACTCTTCCTTGAAAAACATGCAAAAATTTCTTAGTAGCAGTTTGAAAACACCATAATCATAATAAAACTTGAATAAAAGCAAATATTTAAAAAATTATTTCAACATCAAGCAAATGTGAAAGCCATGTTTGGGACATGTGATACTATAACAAAAACAAGAAATAAAAAAAAAAACAATGCAAAAACAAAAAAAAAAAAACCCCAAAAAAAACCATTATCAAAAATGTCATTCATTTACTTTTTATAAAAAGGTAAAATTTTCATACATAGCACCATAAAACTAATTTTTGCAATTTTTCACATTTTACCCTCTGAAAAATAATATTGAGTCACCAGCCAGTTTTACTTTTAAATGAAAAAACATTGTTTGCTTTCAGAAAATACCTAGTTTCATGGGGTTCAGATCAAGTTTCCTTGATATTTTGTTCAGATGTTGACAAAACAGTCATTTTTTGAATATTTTACCTTGTTTTACCCCTATAAAAGTATGAAAATCCATTTTTTTCAGAGAAAATAAGCTGTGGCAAAATGACTTTTGCCATTTTTGTGATGATTTTTACTTGGGATAGAACATTTCTACCATAGCAAACCTGAATTGACTTTATTTAAGTTTAGTGGGGCTATAGGAACACAGCTGTGACACACACTCAATATTTTTCAACTCCTAGACACTTTATAATTAAATTTATTAGCTAAAATTTGATTTAAAAATTTTGCATTTTTTATCATTCTAAAAAATTTTCCCCAATAATGGGAAATTAACCTTTTTTCTTTTTTTTTTCTGAAAATCAGAAAGCCTAAAGCATAATCAAACTATTTTAGGTATAAAATTTAGAGTTTGAAGGAAAACAACATTCCTAGAGGGTCAAAATGCGACTAAGTCCATTGGTAATTTTTAATTATATGGCTGCAAGGGGTTAAAAAAATTGACCCCTGGCCACAGAAATCTTTAGTAAAAGGCGAAAGATTTATACACAATTCCTGACCACTGGAAACCAGGAGCTTTTTTTTTGTTTTTTTTTTTTTAAAAAAGAAAAAAATAGCTGCAATAAGAAAAATTAAGCCAAATTGACTTTGACATGTCTGGGTCAAAGGTCAGCCAGCCATTGATAAACGTTAGAACAAGCTGAGACCAGTTTGTAATAAATCCTACCACTTACAAGAACAAAGAGTGAAAAAAAGGGGGGTAACATTGGTAAAAAGGGCTTGATATGGGTTATTTTTTTTTTCCAAACCTGTTTAAACAATGGCTTGATGTGTTTTGTTTTTTTAACACCTTGCAATAACAACACTTAGCAGACGACATTGTTTGTTTGTTTTTTTGTTTTTTTTACTGCATGTCTTTCATATTTCCCATTGTTGGGTCATATAGCAGTTGCTTTTATTCAATGATGTTCCCTCCATCTTAAAGAGAATGGATTGAAGTTTAAAAAAATTTTTTTTTCATTAAAAAAAAGAAAAAAAAAAAGTGATTTTTCTCAGAAATTTGGCCATAATTTTTTAATGCTAACCCTTGAGTGACATTTTTTCACAGCCAAGTTGAAGATTAATTACCAGTGAATAATTCCATGTGCAAGCAATAGCAGTCTGGATCCTATAACATGGCCCGAAAACATCTACAACTGATTGATCAAAAACTTGTTGCACGTAATTGTTTTCCATGGTCAGTTTCCATTATTTCATCTTGATGTTGTCATTTTCGGACAGCCAACTCATCAAGGAATCAGGAAAACAGTTTGGCAGAGGTTTGCTTTGAAAACTTTGCATTCTATGAGGTGTTTAAATCTACTGATGAGATTTTTTCGGCATATATTTCATTCAAGTGCCATGTTGGATTTTCCTATATGACAAAAACAAGCATTTTAAACAGCTGTTGTATGTATGTATATATTGTTGTGGACACTGGTAAACAAATTTTTTTTCCTTTATGGTTCTCCAGTGGAGTTCTTTTAAATCCTCGTCACCAATGTTGTGGACCCAGAATAGGTCTGAAAGAAAACCCGAACTCAGCAATTTAGTGAAAACGTATTATTAACAAAAATAACGAATACAAAAGTGTTGCACGTCTGACTGACAGCAAAGTACAGTAGTCAACTCGTCAACCCTGGAATGCTCTCTTGAGAGGCATAATATAGTAATAGAACGAGTCCATTTAGTCCATCAAGGTAGGTCCCATAACATATATATATATATACGGCCGTCCAGTTGAGGTTTCTATCAGACTCAATGAATTAATTAAATATAATTATCAAATCCTCCTAATTACTATCTGTGTTTATCATCGCTTGAACCAGCTTCTAATGCTCCAGTTGGTAGCGGCTTGGTGAGAGTAGTCGTGGCTCCAGGGGGCACAGTCTTATGGTTACAGAGAACTCAGTTGAGTTCCACCATGGAATATGTGAGCGAGCGGCGCTAAGTTGAGTCTGATTTGGAATCTCTTCGTCACCGAACAGTTGGTATGATGTTTGCTTGACAACCTAACTGTCAGGGTTTCAATTCTCGGTAGTGGATGCGCACTGCTGATGAGTCCCAAATATAGGACGAAACGGCCGTCCAGTGCTTTCTACATTCTGTTGAGGTTTCTATCAGACTCGATGAATTAATTAAATATAATTATCAAATCCTCCTACTAATTACTATATATATATATATATATAAAATTAGAAATAAAGCCCAATTTACTACTGTAAAAGAAACTTGCCATGTGTTTCTAGAAAACTATCTTCTTAATTTAAACACTTCTAAATTCTTCTAGCTTTACTAAATTCTATGTATATTTTGCATTGCTTGATACTTCATTAAACAATTTAGAAAAATTCAGATAATACGGAGTCTTAAGGTCACAACATAATTGACCAGTTTACAATTTAAACCTTTTAAAACCTTGTCACTCATGATTACTACTTCTCCTTCTATTGCATTCTTTTCAAGGTCTCTCAACTTCAGTAGCCCCCATTCTTTATTTCAGTTAAGGGCATTTTCTATCACCATAGACAACATAGATGACAACACAACTGGGAAATTCAAACATACTATTATTTGTCAATTTTGGTTGCTTGCAGTAGCAGAACTAACTTTTTGCTTTGTAAATAAAGTCACTTACAAAGTTTTAAAGGTTAAAATATAATTAATAAAATATAAAAGAAACATTATTTAAATTTTATCATTTAAAAGCAGAGAAGCAAAACTGCATTGAAATTAGTAAAAGCATTACTTTCTCAATTATACAAAAAGCACTGATACGAAACAAACATGACACAAGTAAACAAAATTATTTTTTTTTTTAATATTTAGCCAAATCAACCAAACCTCAAAAAGAAAAGCAAATACAATAAAGCAGAAAAGATTATTTTTCACAAAGTATACCAACAGGAAAATGCTTAAAAAGTTAACAAGCCTTGACAACCTAAGAAAACTGTTACAAATTGATTTATTTTATAATACTTATCTATATTTTAAATTCTTTTGCACAGCAAAAGTCTGCAAAGTGTCATTATAAATACAATGTCTTTTTTGTTATCTTTCAGACAGTGATGAAAATATTTAATAATTTTGTCCTATGATAAGTGTAAAGGAATATATAAATGAAATCAACTTTTTCTGCTATTTTTCTAACAAGGTTTCTTCAGTCAAATAAATTGAGCTTTCCACAATTATACACTCCTTACTATTGAGCTCAGACAATGATGCAGAGTTTCCATCTCAAATAATATTTAACCAATCATCTTTTTACTTTTGCAAGTAAAAAGATGATTGTTTGAATATTATAAAAGCAGATAAATATAACAAAAACTAACAAGAATGGGAAACTTGTGTTTTTTCATTTGTACATTCAAAGATATGCTTTTTTGAAATTTTTATATTTGTCATTGTAATAAAAAAAATTGAATTTTTGGGACATCCAGAAAATTTTTGAATTATTGTTTATTTTTAAATTAATAATTTTTTCAAGTAAATTACAATCGAAGTATTAATCTTGGACTTTCACCAGAATTAAATGCCTATGTGTTTTCACTACTCAGTAACCCTATGTCAAACACTATCCATTCTTGCTATCTGAGCCAAATGCTTCCACATTTTGTATTAGTGATGATTCATCTTATGTATTAGAAAAGTTTAACCATTCCTAGAACAAGATGCACAACTGGGAATTCTGGTTCTTGCAATTCTGATTCTTGTTGCTGTTAAAAACAAAACGAAAAGTCACAGTCAATAATGGCCAGTTATGAGGTGGCCGACTGCTTTTTTGGCAGTTGTACTTAAATTCTAAATATTACATGTAAATTTTATCAAACTATGCAACACATACACTCATCAAAATCAATATTTTGGGGTCAAGCTTCTTCAAAAGCTGTTGTGTGGGTAAGTCTTGCACAGAGGAAAATTTCAAGTTTTAATGCAAATCACAATTTGTGACTGATCTACAAATATTAAACCAGCTATGCCATATATATATATATATATATATATATATATATATATATATATATAATCTGGTAGGATTATACTCAGCCAAAATGGTAGAAATATTTTTACCCATAAATATCTAGTTTGGGGTATTTACATGGAAGTGAAATGCAATAAGCATACTTGATTGGCCAGAATTAGTTGGTCTGTCTAAAAGGATTGAATTAAAGCTGACAAGAAAAAAAGAATCTTTGGGAAGCTGAATGCATTAGTACCTAAATGTGTTAATTGATGCAGTCACCAAATTAGATTATTAGTTTTTGATCTAACAGAACTCACTCTTGTGCAACTTTATAATTTAGGAATATAATCCAAAGAAATTTTTAATAATATAAGAAAAATATAATTATTTATAATTTTTAATGCAAACATATCCATTAATAAATTTATATATGCTTGATGAAAAAAAAAATTGTATTTATGGATTATATACCTGGTGGAGAATGGCAGGTCCAATTTGTTGTGGTAACAAAATCACTAACACAAAGAATGAGTTCTATTGTCTGAACAAAACTTAAAATGTTACACTTCCCAATTTAAAAAAAATTTTTTTTTTACTTTTTAATGTAAGTAACATTCTCATTGATGTGAATTATGACCTTTCAATATTGGATTATGTGTGTATGCATGCATGTATATATATATATATATATATATATATATATATATATATATTGATCTTTACAAATTTAGGTAATAGAAGAATATTCTTAAAATTAATTGTATATTTAACAGTCATAAGAATGTGTAAATTTACTTGTTTTGCAGTTTATTTCAAGAAACATAATTGAGTCCAGATTATCATAAGAAGTCTTATGAATGGTGCATACAAAAAAGTCTCCCTTAGCTCTCATTTGTTATGCTAGATGTTAGTAAAAGTAGTAACAGTCTTCTCATAAAACAAAGATAGAAAGAAATAATTTGCTCTGTATATGTTTGAAGGGTAATAAAAAGATGAGTTTTTACTTTTCCCAGTACTTTTTAGTATGCAAATTGTAGACAAAAGTGGTGGACATACACACACACATATATGTGTGTGTGTGTGTGTAAGCAGCTTATAGTCAAATTTGTATAGATACACTTTGTTATGAAACAATTTTGAAATTAATATTTACATAACTTATTTGCTATTTTATATCCAGATTAAAACTTAAAAAATACACTTTTATGATTGTTATTAATTTAAACAAAAATTCTAACATGAAGATATGTGCATACACAATCTGTCAAAGTTATAAATAAAATATGCAACTAAGTACAAACTCTGATTTGAAGTTTTCAAAATGTCCCACTTAATTGTCAAGCAATTTATTCCCTTCTAAGGTAACCAAGTATTAAGTCCTAATAAAATTTTAACATTTTTCTCATTTATATTTGTTTGGCTTCTTTTACAGGAACAGAAATCTAAGTGACTAAAATCATCAAATTTCACTTTTAAACTGTTACTATAGTGATTATTATTCCTAGTTATTTTTAACTAAGTTCATTACTTGTTTTGATTGAATTACTAAATATTGAGCAATTTCTATGAAAAATGAGATAATTTTGGTGTACGTAGGACTTAGATGGGGAATTGCTTTGGATATGTTTTTGGTGACAAGTTAATAATTTAGAAATGATAATTAAGTTAAAAATATTCAACTGTTTAAATTATTATTTTTGCTCTATTTATTCACACATTAAATTTAGTTTGGGAAATATTAACATAATACTTACTCCTTATATATACGTTATCACTATATCAATAGTCATTAGAATGAATAAAAGTTTTCATATATTTGCTTAGCAGACTTGATTGGTAAAGATCGGCATTAAGTTTTAATCTGGATATAAAATAGGAAATAAGTTATGTAAATCTTTTATAAATTGCTACTAGGGAAAAAAAATACCAACAGTAGCTTAATTTTATAACATTTTTGATAAGAAGAAAAGACTTTTGATAAGGAATAAAAAATTGACATAAATATGTTTGAAACACTGAGCTCAAACTACATTAAGCAGATCATCTTAGATTTTTCTGCAAGTCTAGTTACCATATAATTTAGCAGATACATTTTAAATAATAGGAAATTCTTAAACTGAACCAAATGTCCATAAAAAGCATCATGGGGTGAAGTAGCAATTGCCTACTGGCATGAAAGAGGCAAATGAAACTGAAGCTGGTCAGAAGAGGTCTCTCATTTCCCCAAATTATAATGATGTCTTTCTTACATTACAAAAAAAAAAATGCTATCATGACTGGAACTCATATGAGATGCCTAGAGTCCAATGCATTCAACATTTTCAGAGATATATTGGCATAATGTTTTTTTTTTTTTTTTTTTTTTTTTTTTTACTGTAACAAGTTTGTCAATAGAGTTTTATATAAATCAATTTCATAAAAAAAGTGTATAAACTTGTAACTTCTTAAAATTAGAAGCTCATCTGTATCAATATGATTATGCAAATTACTTTAGGTCAGAAGTTATAGTAATTAATATATTAGATACAAACTTGCTAGGGACCAGCACATCTGTATCCAGTCTCATTAATAAAGCCATGAGCATCTCATCAGATATTGAATCAAGAGGTTATACATCATGTGGCAGAAATATGTGGGCAGTATTTCTGCTGCACTCTGTATCTCAAATTCTTTTTTTTCTGAATGAGATAAGCTGGATCTAACAAATGCAAAAAATATAATAAATATAAGAATATGGTTACTTACAGCTGTGCCTGTTTGTCTGCAACCTGAATATAGAGAAAAAAACAATTACATATAACAAAAACAACTCTTTACAATATAACTTGAAGTAGGAATACACCAACTGCTACATAGTTTTTTCTACTGCCAAGCGTTTTTGTTTTAAGCATAAAGAAATTACAAATAATTTTCTAATTTTACTAAAATGTTTTGGTTTTATATACAAAGATTCCTTTTTCAAATATTAAGTTTTGAAAGCCTTTCACCTCATATTAAGCAATAGCAAAGAGCAAAATTGCTTAAAATTTAAAACCATAGTGTCCTAAATGTTTAACTTCCTATGGTATAAAAGCACAGTCATCTTTTCATTGCCATTTATGAAACAGTGGCCTTACAGATAGATTCATTCAGAGTTACATTAACTTAGGTAACAAATATGTCAGAAAATATCTGTAAGGGACAGTTTTGCCATAAGTGAAAATCATGAAGTGTAAACAGGATAAAAATTTCACCTTTATCATCAAAAAAAAAAAAAATAAATAAATAAATAAAAAAAAAAAAAAAAAAGTTTGTAGGAGACACCAATAGAAATTCTTAAATTTTATTTTTATAGAAGATATGCATATTTTTGCAAAACATTAGAAAAAGGTCATGGCTTTGGAATTATGAGAAAAATTTTCATTGAAATATAGCAAAGCCCACCTTCACTATTTCATGACTTGGACAATATATTCAATAGCCCAATGTTATTGCATGCCAATCACCTAAGGCATATTGCTTATATTTTATAAAGTCACCCAGGAAAATTAGAAATCTGCTTGAAAGATAATGTTGTTATCAAAAAATAAGAAATCATGATTACATTAAAATCTACAAGTTTAGGCAAAATTTATTTATGCCCTTCAATTATTGCCACTTTCAGTTTTCTGTTATTAAACTATATATTTTTAAAATAATATAACTTTATATAAATTCCTTGTGTTAACCTATCTAGTATATATAAAACAATGTGTATGCATGCATATTATATTTTACATGGACTATAAAAAAAAATAATTGAAATGTAATATAATTTCAATTAAATACAGTTTATTGTTGCTTTTTGTATACAGTGCTCAATATCTGAAAGAGAGAACTACAAAGGGCAAGATTACTTTTTTAAGAATGTACTATTGATAGAGCTTAGATGCTTAAAATGCAGTATGATCTTAAAAATATAATTTTACATTGTTTTATTAAATAGAATGAATAATGAATATCTGTTAATTCCTTTTGGGGGAGTTTCTCCTTATGTCTAATAAGTTATTTTTGATGTCAAGTAAAATCTTGTAAATTAACTTGCTAAAATTGTGTTATGTTCTGAGTAATTTCATTGGTTATATTCAAGGAATAGAGAGAAAGAGAGAGAATGAGTGTTGTTATTTATGTTATTAATATACTCAATTCACCTTTTGCATGGGTGATATGTTCCAGAGACTGCCATACAAAATAAAACAAAAAAAAAAGTGTATATATGAAAATAAGAGATAGGTTCCATCCAAATATATTTAATAAAACAAAAATGTTAATTTTCATATACAAATAAATTGAATTTATATATATATATATATATATAAATAACATAATCATTCAGTCATGCAGTGTCAGTACTAGATAGTGAACATGCACACTTTCTGTTGTTTTTTGTTGGTGCAAAATCACTCTCTTCACTGGAAACATTTAATGGTGATATATCTTCATGTGTATCTTGAATACAATTAACATCTTGTCTTTCTTTTGCTTCACTGTTTTTGAATATGAATTCAGTTATCAGACACTGTGATTTTGTTAGTTTTTTATATGGTTCTTCATAATGTGCCATAATCATTTTCAAATCATGTTGGAATTGCACAGCATGTTCAACATTGTTATCATTTGTAAAAAAAATGTTTTCCAAGTTTATTGGCTATTTGGAGGCCTTCTAGAATTGTACTTGCAGATAGTGGAACCACTTCTTCATCATCACTACTATAAACTAACGTGGAATCATATACATTCTCTGAAATACTATGCATGTACAGAGCATAGGTCTCGCCCACACCAGACAGTTGAGGATCACTATACAGAAAAATTGGATTCTATTTTACTTTACTAAATTGTTACTTAATCATGTTACATAGTTTTGGCATTTTGTAAATTATAGTTGATTGATGTTACTTAATTGTTTACTTACCACTTGCAATAAATTCAGTGGTGTTACAAGAAAAGATGTTTAAACCGTGTTAAAGTAAAAAAAAAAAAAAATAATCAGTTGTTTTTGTTGGGCCATATTATTTCAAAACCATGCAAAAAGAGATTTGAGTGTAGTTCAAAGCTTGCTATTTCTATGGAACAGATTTTAGTTTCATATGGCTAAAATGGCCTCAGAGTTAAGGTCATTTAATAACTTTAACATAAAATGCCATACAAACAACTTTTTAAACATCTTTCTTTGGAAACAACCAATGATGGTTGAAAGTACTCTGAACATAAGTTTCTATCTGAAATCAAAACTCACCAAAAGGCTTAACATACATTTACTATCTAATAAAACATGCTGTCTGAATATAATGTTTGAAATTGTGTGTGTGTGCAACAATTTTTACTTTCTTGATCCTGACAGCTACTATATATATATATATATATACACACACACACACACACACACAGAAAATAAAACTGCAGTGCCCCAAAGGATGATGACAATTTTGAATTGGATACAGTATGAGTATCCTAGGGTGTGGTGGGAAGAGAGACATTCTTTGACCATTTTGTGATGTACCAGTACATCATCTGTATTTGAGCTTTAGATAGTGACATGTGATATGGTTCAGTGTGGCAAGTGTCTGATGCCGGTAGGGGTCATAACACAGAGATACAACTGACCTCCCTTTGTTCAATTAGAGCAACTTGATAGTGGGATGGATTATGAGCCTTCAATAGGCAAGATCATCATTTTCAAGAGAATCTGTGTGCATGTTGAATGTGACATTTTGGTGGTTCTTCAATCATGGTCTCCTCTTTCTCATAATCAAACTGATTGTAGAGGAAACACAAGCGATAATGATGCAGCCAGTCGTCGCCAACCAGATCTGTTCTGCCTCACAAAACAGTGTCAGAGTGTTCATCCTGGTCCATTCCTTGATGTTGTCCATCCAGTTTTTGGACCGTCTCCCTCTACATCTACCCACTTCCAAAGTACCTTGAAGGAACATCTTGGGTAGAGTATTGTGGCATATGACATATCCAAGCCAAAATAGCTTTCTTCTCTTTACTGTTGTTAAGAGGGGCTCCTGGGGACCTGACAGTTGTTACTTGGCCCTGTACAAAATCATTTGTCTTGTGTTTTCTCCAGGAGATTCCAAGAAGGTGTCTGAAGCATTTCATTTCAAATGTTTGGACTCTCTTGTTGTTTTCTGTTATCAGCTTTCACATCCATAGAACAGCATGGACAGCACCAGAGATTTGGTTAGAAAGCTGATGTTTTGCCATTACCAAAGTTGCCATAGCCAGTCTGGATTTGATTTTTGTTGTAGAGTGTCCATCTTTGGTGAGGGTAATGCCAAGGTATTTAAAGGTGTTCACTTTTTCCACTTTTCTTCCATTCATGAAGATCTTGGCCCTGATGTTGGTTGTACTGTTGACCAGGACTTTACTCTTCACAATGCTCACTTCAATTCTATATGCTCCTACTCTGTCTGTCAATTTGTTAGTCAGACCCTGCAATTTGGAGTTGCTGTTGCCCTCATCAGAGAAGCGCAAGTTGTTAATGATTCTCCCTCCTATGAATATAGTGGACTAAAAGTCTTGAAGGGTTTCTTGTATGATGTTCACAAGAAAGAGATTGAACGATTTTGCAGAAAGCAAGCAACCCTGATGGATACCAACTGTTGTCTTGAAATAATTACCCACCTGACTGTTAGGCAGGCCGCTAGAGGTCTTATACAGTGCCTCAATGCTTTGAATGAGACCCTTCTCTATGCTGAAATTCCTCAGTACTTGCCATAGACCATCATGCCACACTCTATTGAAGACCTTCTTGAAATCTATAAAGTTATGGAACAGATCCTTCTGATGTTGCAAATGTTTCTCCATCAGAATGCAGTAATTGAAGATCTGCTTCACAGTGCTTCTGCCTGCCCAAAATCCAGCTTATTCTTCTGCTAGATGTTCTTCAGCTTCTTTCTTGAGTCTGTTTAAAATGACTCGTAGCATGATTTTACTGGTGTGGCTAATGGTCCTTTAGTTCTGGCACTGGTGGAAGTTTCCTTTTTTGGGCATGGGGATGATGAGTAGCAGTAGTCAAATGAATAGTCTTACATAGATGGAGGGATGGGGACTGAGAATTTTCCTGCACAATTATGAAATGATTTCAAATTCTGATGTTTTGTTAGATTTTCTGGGAAAGTGGATTAGGCTGAAAACTTTTCAACATCCCGTGTGTGTGTATTTCTTAATGGCAGTTTCTTTTCATATTCTTTGAATATTACTGAATAAGCATTTTGTTCACCCATCCAAATTATATTTTTCATGACATATACATTATAGATATATAAAGCAAATACATCCCCCTCCCCGACACAACCTATTTCACCCTTCCTGTGAGTTTAAATTAATTATTTTCTCATGACTTATGGTAACATTAAAATGTGTTCTCTCATTTTTGCATTATTCCATGAAAACGGAAGAATAGTAAGTTAATGAATGCCATAGCTACATCAATTGAAATCCTGAAGAAAGTTTTTTTTCTCATAGATATGATAGATAAGATTCTGGCATTATTCTTCTATGTACAGAAGATCAACTACAGTATTCTTTTTGGCTTTGCTATTCTGTGTAGAGTTAGAATATTGAGTAACTTACCGTTATAGTTACTGAGGGTTTTTCATCTTCATTCTTCTGTAAATTAAAAATTAGCAAATTCAATCTGACCCACAAAAGACATGACTCAAGCAGTATTTCAAATGGCATGAATCAATACATGGCAATACAAGAATACCTGTTAATTGTTATTAAAAACCTAATCAAAGAAAAATATTTGCATAGGCTTGAGGGGAATGAAATAATTAGACAAATTTAATATTTAAGTTTCAGTCAGCCATGAACACCAAACTTTTAAAGAAGGATAACGATAAGAGAATTTACCAAACAAATCTCTTTTACAAACTTATAGCTATTAACAAATTAATATAGTTTTGTTGTATTGTAGGTCACACATCACAGGGATATACAAGTTGAGTGATGGTTAATGGCTTGGAAAGAGATATTGGCTAGCTGAATTCAAATTCAAGTGAAGTTTATTACATTCATTTGTGCTCACAATTGGTGTAGAATTGTGACCTCTATGATCTTGACTGCAATCAGTAAAGTAGGTAAGTATTGAAGGTTATTTTAAATCAGGACTTGAATTTTCAAAAACAAAGAACACATTGCTTTATATTGACCACGTGTGACCTTTTCAAGTGAAAGATTATTCAATCAGTTCACTAAACTGTCATGTATTCATTTCTATGTAATCTTAACTAAGGTTACATAATTTACATCCCCTTATTGGAGAAAAACTCAATGCTTCAATTAAATGTTAGTTATAATAGTGTGGTGGGTAAGAATCTTAGCTTTAGAGCTAAGAAATTTGAAATCTAAAAGCACCATGGTTAATAGAATCATTTTTTGTTGTGTTTTTACACATAGTTCTAAAAAGTAAATTTAAACTACAAAAAAAGGCATTAAACAAAAAAGGGGCAAGATTTATCAAACTTGGCATAACTGTAAATAAAGAACAGTAGTTTTATTAAAGAAAATAGATGTTTATATTATAGAAAAGATTTATTAAATATGTCAAAATTTTCATTTACTCTCAGGATTACATTTATAGTGAAATGAATTAATTCTGGTGGTGGTAGAAGAAAAGCAAATAATAATCAGTTATATTTTAGTGCATTTAATATTTTGTATTTTATTAATGTAGGTAAAGTTTTTTTTTCTTATCACAGCCCACCAACTTTATGACTACTTCAACTACTTGTCCTCCTGCTTAGCTATAATCAATTTCTGCAACAATAAATTTTTTTTTTTTTTTGTCAGGAAATAATTTATTGATTAACCACCAAATTTTGTCATTAAAAAAAAAAAAAAAAAAATTTGATTAAAATTTTTGTTGTTTTTAACTTCAAATTTGTTTGACTGAGTCAATCTGTAAGTTGCACATGGAAAATCAGGGAGAAAAAAAAGGGTTTTTAATAATCAGAAAACAGAGTTTTTATATGTATAATTATCTAAATAAAAGTAAAGTTACTAATGAAGCTGAAATTGATTTTTATGTAAAATAAATTCTAAAGTATATTTTCCCCTCCAAAAGAATTAATCTCTTTGAATAAAAGTTAAACATATATTTCTAGTTCAGATTTCAATATTAGATAACCTGAGCAGGATTAGAGATAACACTCTTATATAACTTCTGAACTAATTATAAAATAGAATTAAAATGTGATAGTGGAATTTTTTAAATTAAGACAATAAAGAGAAAGCTTACCTTCTGTAAAAATTTATCTATTATCAACCATTTTTCTTTCACTTCTTCAACTTGTTTATTTTTTAATGGATCACGCAATTTCAATTTTACTTCCAGTTTGCCTCCAACAGACTTTCGACCATCCATCAACTGTCGGGAAAAATAGTGTAGACAAAGAAATTTATCAGATAAAATAGCTAAAATCAATAAAAAAAAAAATTAATAAGCATAGCAAAGAGTTATATAATTTTTTATTTCTTTTAATTTTGAATTATATTTAAAAATATTTCAAGTTTAAATGATTAATTACATTAAATCTTGAAAATGCTTGAGATATATATATATATATATATATATATATATATATATTAGGTATCCTTTATAAAATTAGTAGGAGCTTATAAAATGAATAATAATAAATTATATCTATTATTACAACAAAGTGGTTTTAATAAATTTAAATATTTAAATGTAGAGTGTGCTGAAGAATTCTTGATCTGACCTACTTCCTATATATATATATATATATATATAAAATAATAATAACAAACATTGTATTTTTAAAAAATGTCAAGCAGTGCATTTCTGGAGAACAACATTTTAAGCCAAAACATCTTTGAAAGTAAAGTGTTCAATATTGGGAAATAGAACATTAATAGTAAACAAATAAAAATGTTAAAACTTTCAAACTCAGAAACTCTAAGTTAGGAAATCTGAATATTTGTTTACTAAAAATATCGGTTGCATTGGGATGCCTGGTTTGTTTATATTAGAGCTGTTGGGTTCTGTAGGTTTTCATATCAGCCGAATCCAAGTAGATCATGCTTCAGGACCATCTATTATCACAATGACAATAACACTACAATGTGGTATATGAGCTAGTACTAAAAAAAATCTATTTGGAGTCAGCTGATGATACACTACAGCGCAAAGGCTTTTCCCAAATCCTCCCATGACTGTGCTATTTTCTGTTCTCTCTTACCTCAATTTAATCTATTTTTCTTATTTAATCACTCATATCCTGGTTTATTCTTTGACCATGGCGTTCTATATTAACAGGCCTCTGCGTAACTCCGCTACCATGATAGACTGGAGGCCGGCTGACAATTAGATCGTTTCAGTTTGAGCTAACTGCTGCGTACTGTGTACTCTTATGTTGTTGGCTCGAGAAATTCAAAGGAATCTTTTAATTTTACCTTTGGTTGGAATATCATTTAACTTATTTATTTGAAGTAAGTATATTTGATTATTTTAGTTTGAGTCCATACATTATTTATATTTAAATTGTAAAAAGTAAACATTGGTGCTTAAATTTACTAGCACAAAAAGATTTACTTAAGTTTAAAAAGCCCTAACATTTTTAAATTAAAGTTTAATTCATTTTTGGCATTTTCCCTCTTAAAGTTTGTTCAACATTTTTTGATTAAAGTTTAAAGAATTATTTATTGATAAAATGCAATTCTTTTTGAGTAATTTGTGTTATTTTAAGAAGCAAAACAAAACAATGTTTAACAAATTTGAACAGAATTTAATTTAGTTTCTTCAAAGACGTAAAGAAAACTATTTTTATTATAAAATGAATTAAATTTTTTTTTTTCATAAATTCAATGTCATTACTTAATTTGATATTTATTTTTGAAATCGCTAAAAAAAACATTGTTAGTATGAGTGAAAACATAACGTCAACGAAATTAAAGTTTAATTTTCTCAAATTTTTAACCATGATAAAAAATTAGCATAAGTCAACATTTTTCTATTAAAAGTTTAAGTTTGAATATTAAATTTGAATAAAATTTTAAGAGAAAGGTTCATTAAAATTTCTCTATTAAAACTTATCCAACATTTCCATTAAAAGTAAAAAAAACAAGACAAACAAATTTCTTTGCGCTTTTGTTTCCGAAGTTAAAGAATAAATGATTATTTTTACTACATTAGTTACCAATTGGTGAACTGTAAGTATTTTTTTACTTATTAGAATTAAAGAAAAAAATAACAATAGTAAATTTATTACATGCAGTTAATGTCAATATTTTAATTATTATTATTATTTTTTTTTTTTTTTTTTTTTTTAGAAAGGTCTCCTTTTTTACGCCTTTTGACTACAAAATTTATTTTACAAGTATAATAATACCATTTTATTTATCATATTTATTTTAATATTTTTCTGATATTGTTGTTAAAGGACAAAATGCATTATTTTTACTTTACTTTTAATTGTTTTGCTTTAAGGTAAAAAAAAGTTATATATTTTCCTATTTATATAGTTTAAAGCGTATTAAAATAACCAAACTAAAGGAAAGGCTACTTATGAATGTTTTTAAATTTAATATAAAGTTTTAAAGTAAACAACATTGGCTTTCAAATTTTGATACCATAAAAGTTAATGGAAAAATACGTCCAAAAAATCCACCATCTGTATGGCCAGGTGTGCCAAGTAGTCAAATACCAACACCCTCAGCTGTTCAAAGGAATATAAAAAAAACCTCCAGTACTGTTAGAAATCAAATTGCTGATGAACTTAATGCTTTTTTAGAATTAGATAAAATTATACAAATTTGAAAGAAAGTCTGCTTAACAAAAAAAAAAGACTTTATATGTCCAGTTGTAGCATTTTTGGATGAAAATATTTTAACTGTTCAATTATCAAAATCTATTGATGGTATTCCTCTCTTTATGTTGAAAATTTATAACAATTTGCGCTTTGAAACATTTCATTATGGAGTTAAGTGTTATATTAGCAGCCTGTCCAAAAATCATATAAATACAGTTGATACTTGGTCAAAACTGAAATCATCCGATATTTAAATTCTATGGCTTTTGATCACAAGAAAAATATCCTGAGTCAACAATTTTTAGCAATGGCTCCCAAAATGGTTGGAATAAAATACAGCTCAGATATAGTTGTGCATGCTTTTGGGTACTATGCAAGATCATGGACATTGTATAATGAATTAAGATATGATTTTCAATTACCCTCATTAGCAACATTATGAAGGACGACGTCAAAAGTTTCAAAACTTAATGAAAAATCTTTTTTGTTATCTATATTTAATACTCTTAATACCAGTCAAAAAGGGTGCATAATTCTCCATGATGAAGTATATATCAAAAAGATGTTGCTATATCATGGCAAACAACTATTTGGTAAATCAGTTGACAATCCATCTGTACTTGCTCAAACAGTACTTGGTATAATGTTGATATGTCTCAATGGGGGTCCAAATTTTCTTACAAAATTGATTCCAATTTTAAAATTAACATCCGCCTTTTTATTTGAACAAGTTGAGTTAACAGTCCAAGCCATCACATCTGTACCAGCTGATGTAAAAGCTATTATATGTGATGGCAACCATGTAAATCAAGCTTTTTTTTAAATTATATCCTACACTTCCTGAAAAACCTTGGTTAACTGAAGATAATAAACATTTGCTTTTTGATTATGTTCATCTGTTGAAAAATATTCGCAATTTGTGGCTGACAGAAAAAACAGGAGAACTAATCTTTGATGATGATGGAGTAAGTTGAGTTGCAAAATGGACACATCTTAAACAGTTATATCGTTTTGAATCTGAAAGACTAGTCAAACTTTCAGATTTAAATGAAATTTCCATTGCTCCAAAGCCAATAGAAAGACAACGGGTTTCTACTTGCCTCAGAGTGTTTTTTGAAAAAACATATAATGCACTTCTCACTCAGTCTGAAATAAGTGCAGGTAAGAATGATACTGCCCTCTTCATAAACAAGGTTTTGACATGGTGGAAAATTTTAAACGTTAAATGCCTTCAAATTGATAAATTACATAATGATCCTCTGTAAGCTGAAATCAAATCTCCAAATGATACCCGACTTGATTTTATCATTGAATTTGGTAAAATGGCTCTTAATATGGCTGGCAGTCAAGGTAATCGTAAAAAACAATTATCCCAAAACACTGCTACTGCCATACATCATATTTGCAATGGAATTGTTAGTCTATGTCGACACCTTTTAGCTACAAGTCATAAATATGTACTACTTGGGCAATTTTCAACTGATCCATTCGAAAAAGAATTTAGTAAACTTCACCAAGGATCAGGTGGCACCTATTTTATAAATGTTTAACAATGTATTGAAAAGCTGCATATTAAGCAGACATTTTTACTTTTAAATCAAAATGTAAATATTGATGAATTTGATGTTAATGCAGGTCACCAATGTACATCCTGTGATTATAAACTTTGTGAGGAAGGTTCAGAAATATTTGACAATCTGGAAAATTTAGAACCATCTCTTTCCAATGAAATAAAAATGGCTCCTGTGTACATAGCTGGATATATTACAAGAAATGATAATCAACCCAGTGAATGTGAAACTTATTTTTATTATGAAAAGTATGGAAAATATACCAATTTAATTGACCGTGGAAAACTAAAAGTTCCTTCTGACCACACTTGTCAATGGTTATTTTTTTGTTTCATCCTTTTCCATACAATAAAGGAAAAGGTTTGCTATAAATCATTAAGTAACATTTTTATGCTTATTTCTGAGTTTCATTTTTTTCAACATGGAGAAAAAGCATGCTTCTGTTTTTTGCAAATATAGTTTTGAAAAATTTTTTGCAAACATGGCACACCTAGATCAGAAAAAGAACCAGCTCTAAAAAGTTTTGAAACTTTCCTAGAATGATTTTGTTTTATTTGTCTATATTTCTGTGATGATTGATTGTTATATACACACTTCAGCTGATGTCTTCCAGCCTTCTTGGGTTCTGTTTGTCAAACCCAGTAACTGTAATGTAAATTTAAACCAAAGTCTTTATTCACTCACAAGGAATAGATTGAATAAAGGATTCAGTGACACCTGTAAATAATATAAATTTCTGATTCAATATATCTTTTACCAGAAATCATAATTACCCCTTTGTGTTGTTTAATAATTATCAGTGTTCATAGCAAAAATACATATTTTCATTTATTTATCTTTCTTTTATCCTCAGGTGTGAATAAAAATGTTATTCTAAATATTTCATAAAGTGGTTGACTTCATTTTCTTCTAAAATTTCTGAAAATCCTACATTTTTCAATAGGCCTCCAGTTCTGGCTCAGTTGCGCCATGACTTGGCCTGGAGTATAGAACACCATGTCTTTGACCCATATTGACCTTTTTCTATCCCTTAAAGTTATACTTAACATTGTTCTTTCCATTGATCTTTGTGCATTTTTGAGTGATCATTTTCAGGTAATCCTAAATTTCCAGGTTTTGCACTTGTATTTCATACCTGGTATTAACCATTCATTATATACTTTACATTTTAAGCTTACTAGCAAAGTGATTTTCATTACATCTCAATTGTTCTTAAATGCTTTCTACCCTATCATTATGTGTTGTTTTATTTCATTTCTGTGGTCTTACATTTTGTTATTACATGTCTGAATCATGTATTCTAGGACTTCTTCCAGATCTTCATCTATTTTCATATTTTTTGAACATTACTTTGGTTTTAATTATGTTCATTTTTAAACCTATAATCAAACTTTTTCCATTAGGTCATACAGCATTTCTTGTAATTCATCTGCTTATTCTGATATTAATAAAATGTCAGAAAATTGTAGATGGTTTAAATATTCTGTTTATGCTTACTTCTATACTTTTCTAGCTCATTTTCTAGAACAGACTTTCAAAGCCTATTGAAAATAACTGTTGAAATCATATCCTGTCTTGATCCTTCTCCAATCTTTATTTTATCTGTCTTTGTATAGTTGATGTATTGTTGTACTATCACATTCCACTTGTAGTGAATTAAAGAAGGCCACATTTTCTATAGAGCCAAATACTTTTTCATAAATCAACCAAAACTCAACAAACTGGTTTGTCATATTGTTATTTTTCAATCAGTTTGTAAATGGTTTATTAGCAAAACAGGCTATTGTTAGATAGCTACTCCCAAAACCTACTTGTGTGATTCATCTCGGATATTTGTTAGCTTGTAAGTACCTTTTGAAAATAATTAATATATGCATGATAGCAATATAATAGAATAATAGTTGGCATGGTCTTTATAATACTATTTCTTTCTTCTTTTCACACACACACACATATATATATATATATATATATATATATATATATATATATATAGATCCGACAGTATGAAGAAAAATATGGAAAAACAAAAATCCGAATATGCAAGTATGCTGTTTTAATTTCTGATCTTAAAAATTTCAGTTATTCTGTTTTGATTAGTCTTATGTCTATCGTCTTTTCATGTTGACTTGAATATAGTCTAATTTTAATTATGATGTTTTAATAACTATGTCCTGAAGAAGGTCTACTAGACCGAAACGTCTGACGTCGACATTGAAACAATATTAAAACAGCATACTTGCATGTTCGGATTTTTGTTTTTCCATATTTTTCTTTATATATATGTGTGTGTGTGTGTGTGTGTAACATGGGATTACAATAACTAGCCTGAAATTTTGGTATTATCATAGATGAGATATATTCTTTTTAAACCAGTAGACTCCCTACGGTTACTTAGAGAAAAAAAGTCAGGAAATTGTGGAGAGCTTTGACTACCCACATTCTGAAGGGATACAGCACATAAAAGAAAACTCCCTATGGAGCATATGGCGCCAAAATTATTGTTTCAGTTTTAGTAGCAAGTAGGCTTTACAGGTTAGAATTTATAGCTCCATGCCTTACCAGTTTTAATTCAGAATTGTCCTCCTAAGCTAATTACAAACTAAGGTAAGTGACCCAAGTATGCCCTGCTATTTTGCCCTGTAGTTGAGATGAAAAGTGATCACTTCTTACCTTTCCAAAGGGCATTAGTGCAAAATGAATGCAACAAATTTGATTAAAATTTGAACTCTATTTACTATCTGGATAATCATTCTACTAACCACAACAAAGCCTGGTAATACCATGGGGTATTTAAACAAAATTTTTCCAAATGTTTATTCATCATATGCTAATAAAACAAAACTAAAACCATGTTTATAAACCGTTTTATAAAATCAGAGATGCGATTTAAACTAAATTAATTTGATTTAATCAGACTAAGTGCCTCTATACACATGATACATAGTAGCTTAAGGTAGTTCCTTTAATTGTATTAGGTGTCTGCAAAAGTAATTCTTTTTTTGAAAATTAATCTTAATAAATGAAAGAAAGTCCTCCCCATACACTACGTAGGAAACAGTTGTATACACTTAATACAGACGTTGTTTACTTGGTATGTGTGCAAACTTGCTTTCTTGTCCCAGTATCAACCTGGTCTTATATGATTAATCTTATACAAATATATATTGCTAAGAATTTCTGATCAGACAGAGCCATAAAGTAGCAACAGCTGCTAATATCGCTACTACTATGAACTAAAAATACCGGAGATAATTTCATGGTTTTCCTATTTTAATTTTTTGATAAATCTTTAAGTTAATGATGGAATAAGTTCATAGCAAGTTCTACAACAATAAAATATCTATAGAAATTCCTCTATTGCATTGTTAAATATTGGAGCTTAGCTTTAACAAAATATTGAAATAAATTAAATATGAATGCTGGTCATTATTTAAAGTAAGGGGGTATAAATGAAAAGATTTCAAATTGACAACTTTTTCCATTTCATTGAAACAAATATTAAACACTTCTATCTTCTTTCTTTCATTTTCTCACTTAAACCAAGTAGTGTTTCTGATATGTCTTTTCTGTTTTTCCACATTTTCAAAAAAAAAAAAAAAAAAAGAAATAACCCATTATTTATGAAGTATAGGCAGGGCGTAACATACACATGTACGTGTTAACTAAGTAACTAAGGGAGGGACAAGAAGAATTATAAGATGATTTTATAACTTATATAATTGAAACTAGGTTGTTTGATATAAGCAGTGTTTCTTCAATTTAAATGCTAAAATATTTTAATATACTTACATCAAAACTGTCATGAATTGTGCATTTAGATTCTAAAGGCTGTAACTTGACACTGATGGTGCCCAGAATTTTGTCACTCTTCAGAAAGCCTCTGAAACAAAAAATAAATAAAATAATTAGTAAAATAAAGAATTAAGTTAATTTGGTGAAAGTAATAATCTTAATATTTGAAAAATAAAAATTATCTATAAATTAATACAAAGTCATCAATATATCTTTCCACAGAAAAACATGTAAAATTAAACTAAAACAAATTATATTTATAGTATTAATTATCATGGTTATACTTTAATTTGAAGATACTTGATGATATTATGCTCATTTTCCTTTATAGTAAATAAGTGAGATACAAACTACATGAATATTCTTATATAAAAAGAGCAGTTACCAAATAAACTTATTGATGTTAACATATTCCTGAGATTACATACACTAACATGTGAAAAGTCATGAGACAAGTGTCTAGTATTGTGTAGGAGTCCCTCTAGTATGTTGAAGTGCAACAATTGATATAGCATCAATTCCACAAACGGTTGGAAGACCTCTGGAGAGATATCAAGCCACACAGTCATGATAGATGTCTACAATTCATTGATATTTGTAGGTGCAGGACTTTGCATATGAATAGACCTATCCACCACATTCCATAAATACTTGATTGGACTCATATTGGGTGAATGTGGTGGTCACACCATTCATTGGAGGTCTCCAAAATTACCAATTCTGGTCAACTTTGTTCCAATGACAGAGTATTATCCTGCTGGAATCAGCTATTGTTGTTGGTGTCTTGTTGGTAAATTTGCTTTTTAATCCCCGCATTAAATATCTATCAAAATTTTCCGAAATCGTCATATTTCTGTGTAAATGTACATGCCGAACTCGAAATAACAATTAAATTATTATAAGAACTACAGTTTTGGAGTTATTGACAAGAAAAATTCGGACTCACTTACGGTCATTCATCCGCTATTACCGGCTTTGTGTAATTCGATTCACTGCAGCTCATTTCCGTCATCATAACTTTTGGCCTATTTACTGCTGTTACTTGTCTAAATTACTATGCACTATCATAAAGCAATGACAAGGGTTAAGGTTTTCTTTTTGTCCTTTATATATATATATATATATGAAATTCTAACAAAAACAAATTTAGGGTTAGGGTTTTCTTTGTGTTCTTTATATATATATATATATATAAAAAGAAAAAAGGGTTAGTTTTCTTTTTGTTCTTTATAGATAAAATAAAGAACAAAAAGAAACCTTAACCCTTTTTGTTCTTTGTGTGTGTATAAAGAACAAAAAGAAAACCCTAACTAAATTTGTTTTTGTTAGAATTTCCTTTCTAACATGTTCTTACATTGTAATTTTATTTTGTAAATTACCTTGCTCTTTACAAAGTTTGTTCATTAATTATTGTTTGTTTTATTTTCAATTTTAAAACATAAAAATGCTTTACTGTATTATTTAATTTGTTCTTTTTGTATTTGTCATTGCTATTCTACACAGAAAAAAAAAGTTTTTTTTTTGTATTTTTGTTTTATTTAAAGTTTTTTTTTGTTTAAAGTTTTTCTTGTCAATGCTATACCAAAATAGTTTGAACATAATAAAATTTTGATGAGTAAAATAAGTAAATAGTTTTATCAAAAATTGATTGTTCAGCATTTTTATATGGAGAAGATGCTCGAAAATTTTAGAACATTTAGTGTTGGGATTAAAAAGCAAATTTAAAAATAATGGTCAAAATGGCAGACATGTACATAAGCGAAAAGGTCCAACCCCTGCAAATCTAACTAAATACGATTTTTTCTTGAATTGACCTGATAGAATGTAACTCCCAAAATGGAAATTTTTATCATAATTTAATTGTTTAATTCGAGTTCAGCATGTACATTTATCATGGAGATCTGCAAAAAACTTTGATGATTTCACCCATCTGGTACTAAAATGTTTTTGAAGATATTTAGTGTTGGGATTAAAATTGTTCAAATTTTACTATCAAATTTTATCTTCGATAACTGGAGTCCATTGCAGCAAACATGGGGTCTGTGCCACACCAAAACTGGAATCATGACTCACTAGACCATGCCACATATTGCCAGTTTCCTAAGGTCCAACCAGCAATTTCACAAATCTAGATGAGGTACAGTGTGATAGTGTCAAAAGGGGCAATCTGGTGAGTCTTCTGCTCCTATATCCAATGGAAGCTAAGTAATAGTGAATTGACCTGATAGATATGTATTTGGTATCTCCTGTACTGAATGTGGATGAGATTTGAGTCAGTGCTGCTTTTATGTTACCACAGACAATTCTAATCAGATGCTTCTGTTCATGGTCATTAAGGATCTGTAGTTGTCCATTGCACTGATTACAATGGATGGTAATGCTTTCCATCAGATATTTCCAGTACACATGATATTGTAGATCAAGGCATATGAAATATCTGCAAAAACTTTAGAAGTGGAATGTCTCACCCATCTGGTACTAACTATCATGTCCTGTTTGAACTTCTATAATTCATGTTGCCTTGCTATGAGCAGCCAAACCATTGTTCACATTGACTCACCATATGTCAGAGCACAATTGACATATGTTTAAGCATTTCCATGATAACAAGGTACAGACAGTGTTGCCACTTATTACCCTTACAAATCGCTATCTCATAACTTTTGGCATGTCAGTGTGTGTATATATATATATATATATGTGTGTGTGTGTGTGTGTGTGTGTGTGTGTGTGTGTGTGTGTGTATTTAGATCTGAGTCAGATTGCATTTTGTTTTGTTAGTGCGTGTATGTGTGTGGCTAAAGACAGAAAAGCAGGCAGACAATTCAATTGATATTTTCAATAAATAAGGAAAAAAAAACTGTTTTTAAGCTTATGGTAGCTTTTAGCATTCTGAACTCTTGGAAATCAGCTTACTTTCAAAGGAAAAATAATAACAACATTTGTAGATCAATGTCCTAAAAGGAGAAACATAGCCTTGAAAGCAATTAATCAAACCCTATATTTCATATCATAAGGACAAAAAATATTCACAAAATGAACCAGTGAAAATTTAATTATTTATGCAAATTAAAAACATTTTTCACTTCCATTCAATTTTTGCATTTACTACCTTTTAAATTCACTTATTTACTCCTATTATAAAGAAAATAATTTTCAATTGCCATGATTTATTTATAGAGATGAAAAAGAAAATGATTGCCATTTCTTGTACAGTTATGTGCCAAGACCTAATCAAGTTCAGATTTAGTGAAGTAAAAAACATCAAGAATTTATAAACATATTAGTTTATCCATAGTTAAAAAAATAGTTTCTAGGATTTTTATCTTGATTGTTTTATAAACACTGCTTTTGAAATTACTAAAATAAAAATATCAAAAGAAGCCCAACATGAAATGAAAGTGAGGAAAAGTAACGTATTAACATCCTGACATTCCCTATTTATTAATAGGACATTTTCATATTAGCATCGAGTAACGCCTTCAGTGACCATAACATCTGAAGATTCTATTACTAAAAAGGTATGGTCAGGTTGTGTGATCAATAAATATCTAAAGTAATATTGCTTTTGTACCTGTCTATATTTCTGAGATGAGGTATTATGTACACTATATTATTTGGACTATTGTCCTCATCTTTGTTGCCATATTTATCACTACGTTTCGGCCGTTGTATGCTCCGGCCTTCTTCAGGTGGTTGGAATGTTAAACTGAACCCTTTATTTTGCTTCCTGGGGTAGACTGTTCTCATTCCACATGCCATGTCTAATGGATGTCAGTTATCTCCTGTTAATTCATCTCTCCAAGTTCTCCACTGCCTTAACTGGGTATTGAACTCATACTCTTTGAGTCCTGTCACTGGATCTAACATCAGGACAACCTTCAAAAGCTTGACGACACTTCGCAGATATCTCTCCCGAGTAAGATCCCCCCCCCCGCCATAGAGAAGAACATGACTAAAAACTGTGTGTATGCCATCCCGTGCAGCTGCGGAAAGAAGTATAAAGGGGAGATAGGCTGCCCCCTTAAGGTAAGGCTTCAAGAACACCAAAAAGCTGTAACATGAGAGGAAGTAGAAAAATCAGGTGTGGCTGACCACATATGGAGAGAAAAGGGTGATCACTGCCCTCTGTGGGATCAGGTTGAAATCATAGACAAAGAACATCATTGAGAAATTCATAAACTTAAGGAATCAGCACATATGCTAGGCCACAGAAATCTCTTGAGCCGACAAAACACAGAAATGAATACAATATGGGAACCAGTAATAAAGAGTGCCAGAGAAAAGCAATAATAATGAAAATTGCAATATGAGCTCTGGTAAAAAACATGCAATGCTAACAGCAAAAATTGTTGCTGAAGACATTAAGTTTATAAGTCCCAGAAATTCATACGCAGATGTCCTTAAGGACACATGGCACAGTGGATAAAGGCGTTGGTTAAATCCAGTGACAGGGCCCAAAGAGTTGTGAGTTCAATACCTGGTTAACGCAGTGGAGAACTTGGAGAGGTGAATTAACAGGAGATAACTGTGCAACTAAAACAGTCTATCTACCACAGTGAGCGAAATAAAGGGTTGAGTTTGACATTCCAACTACCTGAAGAAGGCCAGAGCGTACAATGGCTGAAAATATGCCATCAAAGATGAGAACAATAGTCTAAATAATGTGAATATTGCTTTTGTTATAGATTAAAATTTATTTATTGTACGATGATCAGTTTTCGTCAATGCTTTTTTTTCTGTTTTAACTAAAGCCTACATAACATTTAAGTTTAATCTCTTTTAAAACACTACTTTGAAAGAAATGGCAGAAACAAGGTAAGTAATTTTTTCACAATCAAATTCCCTGAACATTTGAGCAACATCTTATATACAAATTTTGCAGTGGCATCCTATATACAATTTCTGTATAAGTTTTAAGTAATTTTAATATTAATTTTTTTCCCCCCCTAAATTTGTTCATATTTAAATATTTAAAACTAGCTTAAAAGATACCATATCAGGCAGCATTTAAGCTAGATACTGCAGAGGGCTCTTGATTAAGCGATCGGCTTGTTCAGTAGTTTGAGAATCCCTGAGTCTGTGCAT